AAAAAAATTTGTTAGGTTTATTTCATGTTAATATTAAAATTTGTTATTATGATTATTTCTTTTTAACATCAATTTTTTTTTTTATGTTTTATTGCATCAATAGTTTATTTCATCATTTTTATATCAATAATAATATTTTTTTGTTTCATTACACTATGTAAAAAATAAAGAATTTTATTATAGAATAAAAATACTAGTTTTTTTACAATATAAAAAATAAATAAAAAATTACAAAAATAAATTACAATAAAACTTCCTAAAGTTTCTAAAAGGCCTAAATACTCTTCCGCTCCCGATTCTCGATTCCAAAGTTCAATTTTTTTTCCGAACCTGCAAAATAAACGAACAACACATTTTAATCGGTTAGATTTTTCGTCCGACACCCTCAGAAAAGTCTCATCATCGGGTGCGTCGAGAGGGAAACGGGTTACTCCGAAGCCGGCTCCTGACTTTATTTCTGACCAAAGGTAAAAATCAAGCAATAATAATTGTTCATAGAGGCAACCGAGAAAAAGAGATAAAAAGTGCTTTTGGAAAAAGCTGGTTGGCAAAAAAGGTGTTTATCCAGAAAAGTGCTTATTGAAAAAGCACTTATTCAAAAAGCGTTTTTGCCAAACAAGCCTTAAAAACTTTCCAGAGTTTCGGAAAAATCCAACGGGTCAAATAAGCTAGCAAATCGCAATAAGCTCACAACCAATTCAAAACAACAAGTCTGAAGTCCGTCAAAAACGCATGCAACAAACCCATCAATAAGGTCGTATGAATCTCCAAAAACAATCATCAAAAATCACAACAACAAAAGCAAATCCAGTTAGAGTTGAATTCATCCCTACCATAAGAGTCGCAAAAATCCACAACAAATTAGCCAACAAAATCGGAGCGGATCTAAAGCCCACAAGTGATATCAAGAACCAACATATAAAATCATCATAGAAAAGGTTCAGAGGGGGATCCGAAACTCTAAAGTGAAAACGGCGATCTGTATTCAGAGAAATCCAAGAGGATTTCATCATCATCATCCCAGAAGGAAGGAGAAAAGGATTTTACGAACCCAGAACCTCACATGCAAAGACAATAAGGGCGGAGGTTAAGAAAATCCAAGAAAGCTCATCATCATCACCATTCACGGCGAAAGCATCATCAACAACGGACGGCGGAAACACCATCATCATCCCTTGACGGGCGAGAGGCGTCGGCGAAGCAACCACCATCACCCACGGCCGCCGCGAGCAAGGAAACAAAACCCACAACTCAGTTCGTTCAAAACATCATCGCCGACCGCACATCGAACATCACCGGCCACGAACGACGTCATCGCGCGCCACCATAAGCCGTCACTTTCTTAACTTTGTTTTTTTGTTGATTCGTTGTTTCAGGTTCAAAGAGAATGAGAAGAGCCACATGCAAACAGAAAGGAGGAGGACGAAAAAGCTCCGAGAATTCACAACAGTGGCGCCGCAACGTATAGTAGAAGAAGAAGAAGATATGGTCAATGAAAATCCTAAACTAATGGCCCAGCTTAAATATCGCCCCTTCCCTCTTTATTTTTGCTATTTTTCTTTTTCTTTTTTTCTTTTTTTTTTTCGGTTTCATTTCTTTCTCATTTATTTTTATTATTTTGTTTTAATTGTAATTAGTTATAATAGTAGTTAACTTATTTTAGATTATTTAAATCTTTAAAACTCTGTTTTTTATCATTAAAAATTAGAAATATTTTTTTTCCATATAATTCAAACTTAAAAATTAAAACATTTTTTTTAAAACCTAAAACATTTTTATAATTAAAAATTGAAACAGTTTTATAATTAAAAATAAAAACATTTTCCATAATTAAAACTTAAAACCTTTTCTTCTTTGAAGACTTAACTCTTTTTCAAATAAAACGAAACTTAATTAATTTTTTAATTAAAAAATTCAATTCTAGCCCGACTTCTAAAAAATATATTAACCAAATGAATTGTTTTTCTTCCAAAATTAAGTTTCTTTTTTTTAGGTAAATCAAAGTTTTCGAATACACCGCTAACTTCCTTTTAAAAAACAAAAATGATTAATGTTTCCGTTAACTCTCTTCTACATTCATATCTCTTGTCGTACATGGTCATTAATTTCACATTTTTGCCATATTTTCATTCTCTATGGTTGTAAGTTTATGCGAGGCTACCGTCACATTTATATTCCGTCAGTTATTTTGCATTGTTTTTCATGGATTGTAATTTACGCGAGTGATCGTCGCAATGTAATAATTCACCATCTGCATATTTTTACCGTCAAAACCTTCCGAAGGATTAGGTCTAACAGTGTGACCGCCCTGTCAATAGCCTTACCCTTTGATGGTTCAAACCCTAATAGCCTAGGTGTCCCGCCGTGGACGAAAATGCCCTTTACCCTAGCATTAGGTCTAAGAGTCGCCGTACTCTGTTTTAGGGTTTCCCGCCGTAGAATACCTAATTTAACCCTAATTTCAATTAATCATTTCAACGAAGAAATAGGAGTCGCCGTACTCCACGTAAGCGTATCCTTAAGAAACGCTTACTTCTCCTTGAAACCTTGACCACAGTCAAGAAGTTTCTAACCTCCCTTTCGAGGGGAACTACGATTACTCTGATTCCATCCCCTATCCAGGATACGTAGGCACAAGATGCGAATCTTGCCGAGTAAACTTAGGACTAACCCTTAGGTCTTTCTGTCACTCTTAACCCTTAGCTCAGTATATACTTAAAGCAAATAACTAAAGCAAAAATAGTAAAAATAAACAAAAGGTTCCTGTAGAGTACTACAGAAGTTTTGGGTGCTAGTACCTTCCCTAAGCTTAACCAACCCCTTACCTAGGTCTCTCCCCGCATTGTTTACGATGCAAAAATAGGTTTTCCTTCATCTGACCTTTTCCTTCGGATAAATCAAAGTCGATTGTGAATCAAAAATTTGCGATTCAAACAAATTAATAGTTTGATATCCTATTCTCACCGCAATAATATGTATTAAAAATTAAATTTAAACTGTGGGGATTTGGTTTTCGAAGGTTAAAACCCTCCTACAAATCGTTAATAGTGTGTAAAAAATATAACTCTTCATATTTAGTTATATGATAAAAGAAAGTGAAATAAAATTGCAGTTTAACCAGAAAAGTAATTAGAACAAAAATTAGATTGCAGATATAATGTACTAAAAGTAGAAAAAATATATCTACCAAAAGTAGAAAAAAAACTCTAAATAATTAGTTATGTTATTTTCTCACTACTTGTTGTAAGAAGCAAAATTAATATACAAGTACACAACAATGCACTAAAGGTTAGTGCAACTGAACTTTTAGACAAATCATTTCCATTAATCATTCTTTTACTTTCTAAACTATCGTCAGTTATGCAATTATCTTTTTAATATTTCTAGTATCCTTCCTTCGTCCTCCTCTTCTCCCAATTCGAAGTTTAGCAAGGACTCTAGCTGTTACAAATGATTTAATCATATAAAGAGTAAAACCAAAATTTTGAAAAAAATAGTATTTACAGGTCAAATGAATACATAATTCAAAATTCATGTTAACTTTCAATATGTTCCATGTTTCTGCGAGTATACTTTAAAGGGAAACATAAATATAATTGCATTTAGTTGGGAATCAAAGCTTTAAAATTGTATTGAACTTCAGTTATATTTACAAAATTAGGATCACTGAGATTCATTATCACTGCAAATACATGTTTCAAAGCCTCGATGTCTCTATGAATCCCTAATGCACCACAAAGTCCTTAAGAAAATTCATATTATGCTAGAATGTTCATCAGTTGTAAATTAAAACATGAAATATTAAACATGAAAAACATGAAACATTAAAGTAAATAAAATACATTTTGTTACAACAAGTATTTTGTTGATACTTGTGCAAATACAAATATTTTACAACAAGTTCATTAGCTTTGCCAACAAAGCAAAGTTTCACAAAGAGGTATCTGAATAACAAACTAAACAACAACAAGATCGATCACATAAGTAAATTTTTCATATTAATAGCCGGTGAATAAAAATTACAAAATCAAAATAGATTAGTAGAAATTCACCCATCTTCAAATAAGCATCAATAAGAGCACTCCTAACAAACTCAATTTCATAACATAAACACTTTTGTTTTCAAAATCCATTTCTAAAAAAAAAGACAATTATTTGTTGCAAAACTTATCGGTAAAATAAAACCATAAAGAAGGACAAAACAAAGAGAAGAGAACAACAAGTCTATTAACAATAGCATAAATCAATCAGAACACATAAATAGTAGTAAATTTTAATGAATAATAATTTTGAGTAACAAATCACATATTCAACTTGAATCATCACTATTGTACTTGATTCAACAACTTGTTCTTTTAAAAAAAAACTTCTTTGTCAATACGGATTCCAATCAATGTTCTAATTGCTACTTTCTTTGTATCTTCCATAGTTGATGGCTATTATATTTTCTTCCACTCTACCATAACTTTCACCGTCATTATTGATCGATAAATCTAAAATTCAATGTGTTGAATTGCAATGTAATTTTAAATCTTTTTAAAGAAAGAGATGAAGAGTTGTGATGGTGAGAGAGAGATTCTTCGTCACTCTCACTTTGTATTCTTTTCGTTTGTCTATAAGAATAAAAAAATTAAAATTATTTCATTTTATAAGTAAACGTGTTCAAATAAACTCATTTATAATTGTATATTCAACTAAACGGTCATTTAAAGTTTCTTTTACAAAATTTGATAGAAAAAATCAAGCAAACTAGCGAATATGTTTTTAAAATATTAATTTATAATCATTTTAATTAAAAAAACTACATCGAAACATTAAATTATAAGCCTAAAATCAAATCTTCAACGCCGTTGGTATATTCTCATGTGACCAAAGAAAATTTAGTATTTTCAAATTCGTTACTTCTGTTACCCATATCGTCGAACACTTGATAGGCGCTTGTTGTTGCCGTGTTCGATTCTACTGACAGTGTAAGATATTCAGATTCAGAATAACGAACGATGAATAGTTCATCTCCGGCTCATTCATCGATTTCCACCACGGCGGTCGTCGGCGGCGGTGTTGGAGGTATTAGCAACGCCGCCGTTTCCGTTGATGATTTTCATTTTCCTTATGATCACATCTCAACGGAAGAACGTAAAGATGAGGCCATGCTAGGTTACCGCTCTACCCTTCACCAATCACATCTTTAATGCTATGATTATTTGTTATTTTTTTGTGGGATTTATTCAATTCACTTGCTTTCTTGTCTATTTGTTTTGATCTTCATTAAAAATTGAAACTTTACTGTAATTTCCAAATTGGTATTAATATGATAGTGTGTATCTCTACATTTGAAATTACATATGTTAGTCTATGCTGTTTTATATTGACATGATGCTAGAAGTAAGGAGACAATTTTTTTTATGTAATTTAGGAACTAAGTAGAAGAGAGGGATTGAATTGAGGATATAATATTTTAACCACAAATGTCAGTAATTAGTTATTAGTAATGTTTGTAGGAGATATGAACCATCCCCGATTCCTCCAATTTTCGTGTTCCTCTTCATGTTATGTACTGCGGATTGCGAAAAACAACAGCTCGTTCAAATTCTTCCATGCTACACTGCTATAATACCATTGACCATTGCAATTTGCTTAAATTCTGTTAAACTATAGTGCTATAGTGTTGCTATTTGACAACTTTGATTCTTCTCTCAAACTACCAAATCACCTTATCACTCTTATGATATTATATTATTTGTTATGGTGAAATTCATGAATGACTCTCTTTCGGGCTATTTAGGTTTGGTTTGGAAGTTTGAATGTAAAGGATTATGGGGAAACAAAGGAGAAGGAACAGGAAGACGTTAACATTGCGGAGTTTTCTGAAAAACTATTGTTAGCAGCTACTTGATTTTAAGCATTCAGATTAGTTGTTTCTTGATGTTCTTAGTTTGGGTTTCTCAGATTTGAACTATTGTTATGTTATGTAGCCTTAAATTTTGTTTTGGTTATAACTCATATTTTTGCATTGACTTGTGTGTTGAATACACTATACCATATTCATGGTACCTAACAATGTAGGGATAAGATGAATTTTTCCTTTGAGTTGCTTAGGCAGCATCAATGTGGGTTAGGAACCAAATCATAATGTATTCGTTTGTCTTGTCTTCCTCTATTTGCACATAGCTCATGTATTTATACATTCTGATATCTTTTTTTACAGTGCTAAAATCGGATCTTATGGCTGCCCTTGACAAGGAGGTTAAATCCTTGGATGAAGATAACTGGAAGTTTGAAGGACCTCGTTCTCGAATCCACCGTGTGTCACGTGGAGGCGGTTAGTATATCAATTGATCAACTGCCTTATTGTTGTATCTTAAATATTTCCTGGGTTGTTATTAAAAAAAACTTAAGGGTTCCTTAAATGTTTTACAGCATTATTTTGATGCATTTTGTTTCCACAGATTTAAACATGAGAATTACTCTTTTTATGGTCATCACGTTACAGTTTCTTTGAGCTATCTCTTAAGATTAGACTGAAACACTTTAGCTTTGTTTCTTCTGAATGTTTTGCTGCAGGGGGTCATCTCCATAGGCCCACAGAACTTTCAAAGAATTGGAGTTTAGCCCCACCGAAATAGTTAGACTCTGTTACATCGAAGTACCAGGCCTCTGTTTAATTATCAAGTAATTTTGGTTATGTTCTACAGATAAGAGTTATTAGGCTGCATTGATAGAAAGCATTGTGGTTATGCTACAACTTCTGGTGATATATAGTTCTGGAAGAACATGATGAATTGAAGATTGTTTGTGTAGAGAAGTTGGTGTCATTTATTGTTTGCAGTATCATTGCTTTAGTTTTGAGAGATCAATGATTAATTTCTCTTGATTGTTTCAAAATGTATGTATTTTAATGTAGCGAGAATCATTACAAACCTAGATAAGTTAAAGTGTTGGTTGGTTTGTATTTTTATATTTAATCTGTTTATTTTTTGACATTATAATAACCTGTTTATAAACATTCGAGTACTTCATGACCATTTCTACCATTTCCATGACCAAGTACTGCTACTTTCTCAAAGTCTCAGAGGCTTCTGATGCCATGAAAAGATGGTGATGAAATCACTGATGCCATGTGGGTTTGGTTAGGGAAAGCATGAGAAGAAGATGGAATTTGAGGTTTTGGTAAGGAAAGTCTTAAGAGCATGCTTGTGTCTTCTTTCTTTGATAACCAATGTCATAATCATTTACATTGCTTTCACAAAAACAAAAAACACTTTGAAATAGGGTTTAAAGAATGAGAGAATGAGAAAGATTTTATTAAAGAAAGAAATGTGCTTAAGTATTGTTGTTAGTGGACTTGGTGGACCTTACTGCCTTAAGGAAGAACATAGTCCATGATCTAACAGCTTTCATCTTCTGCTCATCCTCCTTTAGTGTTAAATCGGCGACCAATTTGGTATATTCAATTGCAAAGTTCCAAATAGATATATTCCGAAGCGGTATAAATAAGGATATTACAACTTCATATAAAAAATATATATAATTGATACGAATATTAGACACTTCAATAGATTTACTTTTCTTTTTCTTAGGAGACAAATTATGCCCTAGTTGAGATTCATGACAATATTGAGATGTAGACTCATCACTTTTCTTATGATTTTTCTCACAAAGATCTTTCTTTTCTAAATTTTATTTTCCACTTCAAATCTATTTTCTATAAGTGTTTCATTATTATGGGGAATTTTTATTAGTTCATCATTATCATCATGAGAAAATGTAGAGTAGAAGTAGGTTCAATATGTGAATCGTGACCATTTGCTATTAGTGTTAAAGTGTAAGTCAGAATTTTATGATATTGGCAAAGACAAATAAAAAAAAAACTTATTAATTTGGCACATTATTAATTTTTTTTCTGCAACTCCGTTTTGTTGGAGGGTCTTAAGGACATGAAAAAATCATCTAAGTTTAAATATTTATTTAAAATTGATTTTACATCATATTAAAAAAAATTCCCAACAACTTGACAAATATCAAATTTTTCATTTAACAAGTACATCCAACATACTTTTGAATAGTTATTTATAAATTCAACAAATTATTATTATCATTTTTTATAAAAAAAGTGTACTTGTAACATTACTGTGAATAATAAAAAAGAAAATTGAAGGTTCACAAGTCTCACACTTAAATAGAGATAATTTTGTATTAATAAATAATTTTGAAAACAAGTCTTTCAAATAACAAAAACTAAGATGATCTACTTATAAATACCATAACATAAAGTTATCATCATTATTTAAAGACTCAAAACTAAAACTTATTTGTTTGGAAGATCATAGATATTCATCTTTAAAGTCAAAGTAATAGAATCATCAACTCTCCTTAACACTACCAATTGCCTTCCTCAAATTCAAATCCTAAAAGACACAATGGGTAAGAAAAAAGTTTGTCTCACAATGTTTCTCTTGAGCTAACTTAGTAACTGACATCATACTACAAGAAAGATATGGGATATAAAGAACATCTTTAAGGGTTAGACTTGAAAACAACACTTTTCGAAAGGTTGGTAGTAGTGTCTTTTCTAAAATTTGACCTTTTAACTTCATCAACATCTTTATTCAATATAACAAAAAAACATAAAGACATTTATTTTCTTACATCTTTAGGAACAAGATAGTATCTTCTACACATTTTCAATTGTCATCGTAATAAAAATCTAATTCTTGTCATAGGATTAATATTTTGTCGTAAATAAATAATTCCATCCCTGTAACCTTTACCATGCTATAACTTTGACTTCACACTGAAAATTAAACAGAAAAACAAAAAATAGTAGTTGGAATGAATAGTAAAATGACTATATCAAAATAGTCCATGAATACGTGAAATCTAACTTTCTCACAAACTTACTATAGCTACTGGGGGTGGACATCGGGCGGGTTCGGGCCCAAATAGTCAAACCGATCAAAACCGTAGGTGAATATACAGAACCCATTTTCGCCCATTATTTTACTACGGATTATGCGGGTTGCGGATTTTCATGCGAATTCGAGTAAATATGAAGGTAGATAATCAAAAAAACGTTAAAATAAAAACTAAGAAAAAATGATTTTAATATCAAAATAACATTATTGTCAACTTAAAAAGAAGAAAACTTTAAAGAACACGTGAAAAAAGTTGATATTCAAGAAGAAACAAAAAATGAAGCAGGAGAAATAAGATTTATTTCATCTGAAATCTTGTAAAATAGTATTATAGAAGATAGTTTGTGAATGACATGACGAAGTACGATATGGCTCAAAGGTATATAGTTACTGCTTTGAAAGGTAAAGATTAAGAAAACCTCACCGATGATATCCAGGTCTATAAAGTTAGAGCTACATACAATACTGGCAAGAGAGGTCCATTGACAGAAATGAAAATGTTGTTGTCTTATTCATAGAGAGAAATACATGTGCTGGACTAGAAATAGGGACGACTCAATGGTGTTGTTGATATCTTTTGAACACATCCTAATTCAGTGAAGTTGTTAAATATGTTTCATTTAGTGTTGATTTTTTATTGTACATACAAGACAAATAGGTAATGGCATCCACTCATTAAAAATGTAGATTTTGATTTAGCAAATTTTTTTATTATGTGCATCGTGATCATACAGGTACCAGATAGGGGTGTTCATGGGTGCGGGTCGACCCGCAAACCCGCCTACCCAAACCGAACCAACCCACTAATTACCCGGACCCATTCATTTACGGGTATACCCGACCCAACCCGTAACAACCCGTATAGATTTGGTTCGGGTATTGGGTTTTAGTTTCTAAACCCATGAACCCGTTGACCCAACCCGTTGACGTGGCATAATTAATTATTATTATTATTATTATATTATTATTTATAAATTTTAAAGTTGCTATAACTTTGTAAATTGTAACGTACACAAAGATCTTTTGCACTTTCCTTCCGGTTTCCAATCACACATTAAATTATTATTATTATTATTATAATTAAACATTATTATTAATATTAATCATGCTTGCTTGACTTATGCACTTCTAGTTTACACTTTACTGCCTTTTTATTTTTTTAATGAATCTTTATTAACTAATAATAATTAAGTATATATTAGAAACTTACTAAACTAAAGACAATACCACTTAACCTAACCCTATTTTTTTACTACGGCAAATCTCAAACGTCACCACTCCTCTTTCTCTCACGATTTTTTTTTTCATTTTACTCTCTCACATTCCAATTTCATCTTGCTTTCGAAAATCCACAGTCTATACTTTGACTCTCTCATAGTTTCGTCTCCATATTGAATAAGGTTTTATACTTTTTATAGTTCTATAATATATTTATTTCAATGCAATATATTGTTTATACAGTATGTACTTCAATAGTTTTATATCAATGCAAAATATGATGATAGGTTCAATGTAATGTACTATTTTGTTTCATATGATGCAAAGTACTATTTTGTTTCATATGATGAAAATATATTTTGATGCAAAATCCTGTTCTGTTTCATATTATTAATTTAAATATATTTTATTTAATGTTGTTTTAATAATAATTTATATTAAAAATTGTTTTTTTATAGAAAATGGAAGTGGAACAATCACAAATTGTCAGTGAAGATGTTGCTCATCCACTTGAACAAGAGCAAGAAGTTCAACAAATACAAGGAGAAGGGTTGTCATCATTGCCACCAAGTGCACTAATAGAGGTGTTCCGGTATGGGCCCGACCTCGGCAGGCCCAATACCACGTACGACCCAACAAGCGAATCGGGCACGTGCGTCCCTCGAGACGAGCAGAGCATGCCGCCGGACACAAGCAGCGCATCCAACAACATCTCATCATCCATCGTTCCAGCCGAGCAGAACCAACCCCGGCACACCAAAGCGCGACCGTGGTTCCTCCCCTCCGCGGGGAGAGCAACGCGCTCCGGGATACCTCGCGAGCTCCCCTCCGCGGGGAGAACAACGTGCTCGGCGCACGTTCTCCACGTGCTCCCCTCCGCGGGGACACGTCATCAACCAACTGTCCACCTCCGAAAGAGCAGTTCAAACCCACTTTCCGGGGATCTAGGAGCAGTTGGACTAGGGCGAAGACCACGTCCTGGTCTTCACTACGCCACGTAAGCCCTAGCAATCATTAGGGTTGGGCCTGGTCATCCAACCCATCTCAAATGACCGTTGGCCCAGCGCTGGGGTCTCTCTATAAATACCATCTTCCTCAAGAGGGCCAGGTAACTCTCTTCTTGCCCCTTTCTGTACTTTTGCTTCCACTCTGCCCAATTTCTTACTTTGGCATCGGAGTGTCTTGCAGGTACACCCCCCTCCTCCTTCTCATCACTGGTGAACAGGTACCGTCCAACGGCGTGTGGCCATATCGTGATTCCCTCCTGATCAGATCAGATCAGTGGCGCCGTCTGTGGGAAACTGAAACTTCCCCGTTACTCCGAGCAGAAAACCAAAAGTTTCACCAAACCTCCACGATCATGGCTAGTCCACACCGCGACGGCACTCCGCACGACCTTGTGCTCAACGTCGCCACCAACGGGAGCAAGCAGACAGGAACGGCACGTCCGGCGGAAGCCGACGAAAGGGACGGGCAAACTGCTTCACCATCAT